GTATATTCTAGAAAAGTATATTGGTGGGGTAGGTTTACCAGAGGCAGAGAGAATGTGCAGGGAGTGAGAAAGTGAATTGATGGATGGATGGTTAAATGAATATAAATGAACTGATACCTTTACAGGAAAATAACATTTCTTTTCTTTTTTTTTTTTATTCTATAGATCAGTGGGTTTTGTATCTGTAATTCTTTCATATCAGCAAAGAGGAAATAAACTCCCATGTAAATCATTTTCCCCCCATCTGGAAGCATATTAAAAGCATGCCTTTTTTTTTTTTTTTTCTTTTAAGCAGAGCCTTTTTTTCCCCCCTATTTGCTTATCGGTTCATCCACCATTACATTTTAAATGAAATTGCAAGACCCCCCTCTCCTCCTTTCCTCCCCCCCCTCCCGCCTCCCAAATTCCGGGCTGATGTCGGAAAGAGGGAATCAGCCTCTCCCATGCTTTAGAATAACTGACCTAGATTCAATTACAGATAGACCCGGCGGAGAGGACGGCACCTCGCTGCCTTCTCAGGGGGCTCTTAAAAAGGGAAAAAAAAAAAAAAAAAAAGAAAAAAAAAGGCAGAAAATAGGAAAATTAAACACCCCCAAAAAGAGAGGGGGGGGCGGGAAATGGGGGGGAGCGGATAAACAACCGGTTCCCACCGAGCGCTGCGGCCTCTCGAGCATCCCCGGCCCCGCCGCGGCCCCGCAGCGCCCGCACCGACGGCGCGACCCCGCCGCTGTCCCGCCGTCAGGGTTGGGGGTTGCCCCCCCCTCCCGGCCGTGTTTTTGGGGGGCCCGCTTGCCAAAGGACAGCTTTTGGGAGGGGGGAGAGTCTCCCGGTTCTCCGCGCCGCCTCCCGGGCTGGAGCGAGGGGACCCCGCGGGAGGAGCGCGGAGCATCGCGGCTCTCGCTCCCTCCTTCCCGCCCTCCCCCGGCACCGAGCGGGGGTCGGGGGGTCCCACGCGGACCCCCCCCCCCAGTCCCGGGGGGCTGCGGCCGCACGGGGAGGGAGGAGAGGGGGGGCTCGGGGGCCGGCAAGGCGCCTTGTTTCATTTCCAAGTGGGACCGGGGCCGCTCCAGGACGCGCCGCTCGCAAATATAATCTTCATATTCAGTTCAATGGAGTCTCCTTATAATTTACAGCGGAGAGATAAGGCTGGAGGATGCAATGAAAAAAAAATCTGAAGTCATCCTCTCCCCCCCTGTACTGCGCTGCACCTTGGGCAGCGGAGCAGAATCCAGAATCTCAACTTCTCCCGACATATGTTTCCAGCAGATAAGTAAACAATCTGGACGTGAAATGAAAATTTTAATTAATGCAGTAATGCTATTACACCTCAAGTGTGCAAATCCCATTGCCTTGCACTGTGACAATGGGTGGGGAGGAGGAAAGAAAGCAGACAGACAACAAACCACAAGCAAATTCTAATCTGGGTTTTGCTTTTCACTCGGCTCCAATTGTTTTCATAGTTTGTTTCCTTTGAATTAATCTCATCCTTATATTTCAATAATTACCAGCTACTCATCTCTTCTCCTCTTTCTCTCACCCACTCAAAGAGTCGGCTCCCGCTCCCTCGCTCTCCTCTTTTAAATTGGGATCAACCTGGATTTAATTTCGGGGCTTTTAGGCGTACACATGTTGCCTTGTTGCAGTGCGGACCTGCACGGACCCTGCACGTTATTTCTTGTTTCGCTTTCCGAGCGCGGAGCGTTCAGTAATAATGAAGTATTTTTGCCCTAATAAAAAAGGAAAAAAAAAAAAAAGGAATAATAATAATAATAAAGGCTGAGTTGTCCCTTTGATGTTGGTATAAAACACCCCGACTGGAACAGAGGCGTGTGAAGGGAGACAAGAGAGACGGGATGGTAAAATTAAGGACCGAAAGAGGAAAAAAAAAAAAAAAAGAAGGGTAAAATACAGACACATCCAAAGCCCCGAGGCCGCCTCGCTCCGGAGCGCGGAGCAACGCGGAGCCCTCAGCCCGCGTCCTCCCGCGGCGCCGGCTCCTCCAGCCCCCCGAGGGGACCGGGAGGAGCGCGGGCTGGGCTGGGTTTAGCCCAATATTTTCAATTTTAAGCGTTCTGAACGATTTGATGATGATTTCTGAGGGGACCCTCCTGCCGCTCCTGGCCGCGGGACCCGCTCCCAGCGCAGCCCCTCGGCGGCCCCGCGGGGTCCCGGCCCGGCCGGTCGGGCCGCGGGAGCGGAGGAGGAGGAGGAGGAGGAGGAGGAGGATGTGTTTCTGATCACCGCTTACTTTTAAACACTACAATCAAGGAACGTAGCCAGGAGGTCGGGCCTGGAATAAAACCGTAAAATCAGAATTGCAATCTTTTTGATGTTTCAAAGTCTCTTTGAATGCCTTTGATACACTCAATAGCAAATTTACTGGGCTATTATCACTAATAAGCAGAAATAAGTAATATCTCTCAGAGACTTCTGTGGGCTTAACGTGTCCTTTAAAATAAAGTTTTTTAACATCACTTAATTCCCCCTCTGTCTTTGTCTCTCCTGCAGCAGAGCTCCCTGGCGATCGCACGGCTACACCTGGGCGCCAGCGAGGGCTCTCCCGGTCCCTTCGCCCCCTCCCCGAGTTCTTTCCTCTTCCTCTCTTATTTGTTATTTTGTTTAAAGGAAGGCCCGGGTGGGTGATTTTAAGTGTCTTGGTGGTCCCGCAGGCAGCACTGAGCCGAAACGGAGAGGAAGAGGAGAAGAGAAGAGAAGAGAAGAGAAGAGAAGAGAAGAGAAGAGAAGAGAAGAGAAGAGAAGAGAAGAGAAGAGAAGAGAAGAGAAGAGAAGAGAAGAGAAGAGAAGAGAAGAGAAGAGAAGAGAAGAGAAGAGAAGAGAAGAGAAGAGAAGAG